CCAGTTTACCTTGTGACCTTAGAAGATCACCATGTTTCTATTCATGATGAATTAGACGTGAACATCTGTTAAGAATGTTAGAACAAAAAATAACTATTACTAATGTAGTTATAATGTTATGAGGTTAAACGAATCATATGAGATATTTCTTTAATAAATAAACTCCGCTGAGATATCATCGTTCAGGCGAAAGTACATTAAGATTTCTTAGTTATTGAGAATCAGTTAGGCTTCAATAAACAGGAAATTGACATCCTTGGTTCCTTTACCAGAAAACTTTACGAGGAATTTTTAGTTTGTACATGGGTAGGGGGCTTTCAGAGATACTAGAGCAGCATTCCATGAACTTTCTTTCTTATGTATTTCTAAAAGGCAAATTCCCGTGGATTTGTTATAATTTCGTCAAAATACTAAAATATTTTTATCATCTACGTAATTTACACCCTGCCCCACCTTTCGTGCGAATATTCTTCTACCAAATTATAACCGATGCCATTGGTACTTTATGTGAACTACCTAGACACATTGACGATCTTCATTTTCTATTATTTGTAGACGAATAAAACATCCGATTTTATTCTAAAAAATGGTGCATTTGAGCTTCATCAACTTACTGAGAAAAGATTTCGACTATTAATTTTATTTGGTGTTAATTCCACATATTATAATTCCAATTAATTTGTTTTTCACCACAATTATACACATTTTTTAGAGTTTACAATAAAACGCTTAATATTACAATAGAATATTTCATTACCACTACTGTAAGAATATGAAACAAAAGTTTATATGTTCTTTATTTGATTAATAATATACCAGTCCACATAAAGTATGATTAAATCGGTCTGGTAAATTCGCACTCAAATTGGAAAAGTTACCTTCTGCCTAAAATATCAGTTTAAAGACACAGAATCACATTTATAAAAAAATGTTTGCGTTTTCGAATGGAATGTAATGGTATTAAAATTCAGATAATAATCATCAAGCTATAAAAACCGACACATAGATCCAAAATGTTGTAACCACAAACCAGGTACAAGCCTATAGGATCTAAGATGATTGTCTACATGTAACAGTATAAATATGATACATTGATAGTATTTGGTGGAATAACACATGAGGACGGTCTTTAAAACATTCTCAGCACTCACTATCGTATTGTGAAACTACATTATGTTTTGTGAAACTACATTATGTTTTGTGAAACTACATTATGTTTTTGTGAAACTACATTATGTTTTGTGAAACTACATTATGCTTTGTGAAACTACATTATGTTTGGTGGAAATGAAATGGATTATTGTGTTCATGTTTCAAAAAATAATCTTTCATTGAGTAAAATGATATTATACGCGACATATTATATTGGTGAATTTTGAATTTTATCTAGTCCGAAACATCTGACTCTATTCCAGCCTCTTATCCTGGAAAAATGTTTCCTCACTACACACTACAAGGCGTTACCGTCTACATAAGATCAAACAAGTGCAGAAAAGAGGACATAAAACTCCATTCATTTCATTTCAATTTTTGCAAAAGATCAGGAACGTATGCTGAAATTGTTTCATGAAGTCACATTATTTGAGGTTATTTAATAACGGCACAGATCAAAGGTCGCACCCTCGTCATTTCATATTTCAATGACGAATTGTATATTTACCTGTTTTTCCGACACCTGCGGCACCAACCACAACAATTTTATATTCTTCCTCATAACTAGAGCATTCACTGTCCGATCTTAGCCTCGCTCTACCAGTATTTCGTCCACCTCCACACCACATCGGAATTTTTCGCACCGAGTGACTCGAAACCGGACACTACGACGAATCACCTTGCGTTCATTTACCTTTCAGTTCGACCACAGTCATATTATATAGAGATATAACGTCACACTCGGAAGTTATGCACCCACATTACACATCGAAATCGGTCGTCGTTTAAATAATATGAATCATAAAAGGTGATATGAATTAATTAAGATTCATCACTCAACAAAAGAAAACTCAAAATGAATAATCTATGCCGCCTACAAGGACTGTTTATGCGGTAGACCCACCATCTATCCAGTGTGCTTCTTGGGTCTGAACCACCTTTTGAAAACAGATACCGATTTCAAAAGCTCATAACCTCACATGAAATTTATGCAATACTGATTGGTCCAATTATATTACATCGAACCGTCAGCACTGAAACTTTAAAGAATCCACTGTACCGTTATTACGAAGAATCTCTTATGGAAATCCATATACAACTGAAAAAGTTATTGGAATCCAATGTGAAAATCCACCATATATAATGAAGTAACATGTATCCCTTTTGAGAAGATAATCTACAGATCCGTCAGCCGTAAGTCATATGTATCCCTAATGAAAATCCACCGTAATGAAAATCCACCGTATCGATCTTCTGATTTTAAGTAATCCTCTTGAAGGTGTCTTGAATATAAAAATCAAGTCGAGGAACAATAAATTATCATGAATATTATGTAAATCCACGCAACAACCTAGCTAGTATAACAATTGTATAAGATAATATAGAATAAGTGTAGATGACTCAACATGTGTAAAGAACACTTGTCTTACATTTATACCACACTAATCTTTTTATATCCTCCAATTCGTGAAATCTGGTCCACTGTTAATATAACTGTAGCTTATTCGTTTGAATGTGAAGAGATAAAGAGGATTGTTTTACCGTTTATTTTCATCGTATTACCAGATACATTCAATCGAAATAAGACGGGCATTGGGCTAAGTTGGCAAGATAGCTTGGAAAGTTTCTAACATGTCACAATTTGTGGTCACACTCCATGAGGTCTTATAACTATCTTCCAATATTATGCATAAATACTATCCATTTAGATATAAAAAAACAAAATGTTAATGCGTATAATGTAACGACAAGTGGGACTTAAAGTAAACTGGTCCCCCATTCCATTTAAGGTGGGAATAGACTAGGCACGGTGCTGCCCAGAGCATTGTGTGGTGCGGGTTATCGATGCAGTAGAAAATAGAACAAGTGAACATACGTGGTACGGGTCCGGACAGGGTGCGGAGATGATTCGCTTCTACTATTTCCTACTGTATCGATAATCCCGCATCGTACATCATACCGGACACCGTACATCGTGTGTTCACATCTTCTATTTTCGTTTGTATCGATTATTCCGCATCGAACACCGTATCTCGTCTATTCGCGACTTAAAGTTTCGCATCGTAGCGATTAGCCAACCCAACAGGGTACAAGTTTACGTTAGAGTCTTTATTTCGATCGAAATATGGTCAATGGGAATTTTTCTAGATTCGTACTACCTGTCAATGGTAAAGTAGTAGATAAATATTCTTAACCCCCTTTTAAACTAATCACGGGGACATTAAGATGTTTGTAACATTACTGCAAGACTACAGATATGGTTTCATTATTGTCATGTGAAAATTGCTCACAAGTCTTATGACCTACCATTAGGGAAATGAATGAGTTCCTACTATGATGCACCTGATTTAGCTAATGAGGGAAAACTTTGACAGACAGTGGCAGTAGCCAACTCTTTTTCGACTGTCGATGGAATTTTAGAAAACACAGCCTTATTTATTGCCCCATTCCAATTTTTACATCAGTGACAGAGGGAAACCGGGTTAACAAAACCGAAGGTATTATCTCGTTCTATGCCGGACCTTGATGCAATCAAAAGTCTGACCCACTGAGCCACCGTGGCTCTCCTTTAAACTAAAGGCAATATTATTTTATTTTAATGCTTACAGTTGAAAGGGAAATAACCATTGTGTCGTTCTTCGCATTAAAATAATACAACAAACCACATTCAGTTTGTTTTCCGAAGCTCAAATGTGTCAGAATTTGCAATAAAAATAATAAGTTTTACTAATTAAGATAAAGATAATTAATCTCTTGAAAGCCTACGAAAGTATCAGGAAAAGTTCTTGTCACATAAAGTATGATAACCAAACCAGAAAAGGCAGGAACAAGAAGTGAGATAACTTCAGATCTATCTTTAAATTGAAACCTTACACCTCTGATAGTTTCCTAGTATAACTGTAAAACGCAATACCTTGGCCATTTTGAAGGTCTTTCATCTGGTTCTCGATCAAACTTCTTATCAAATGATTATCTGAAGCCATTTATTTCTGAGAAATCTGAAATAATGAGGAAAGATGACTTATTCAATGTTATCGAACTTTCACAACTTGACAAATTCTAACACTAGCCCACTGATACAGGCAGTACTTGGTGTAGGGGTGTTTGTAGAACAAAGTCTTGTCTATTAACTGGTAATTGACCAAACCAATGATATTTCTCACCGCCTGAATAATGTGGAAGGATGACTTTCACAAGCTGTCTAAATGTAACCGACTGATGCAGTACTTCCTCGAAGATAGCGTGTTAAAAGAGATAAGAGTTGACAGTCTGAATTAATTTTTCTGCTGAATTGTTCTTCATTAAAATTTAGCAATGTCTTTACTATGACATTAAATGTATAGTTAAATCAATAATTGTCTTTATGTCGTGTATGAGGAAATGCGGAAGTTAACTTCTTAATTTTAACCTATGGATTATTTAAAAATCTTTTTATCGGCGTGAAAAAAGTGAAATCCCTCAGAAATTTGATTCATGAAAGAAAAGTCCAATCTTTTAAATGGAAAAAAATTGGAACAATAAACAACATTGGAACTGCAGTGGGAACATTGGATCCTATTCTTTAAATAATCTTGTGATGAAATATGTTTTTTTTTCTTCTTGAAATATGTCACACTTAAGACAGATGAAAATTACTATTCGTGAGAGAAATTATATGATTTGTGAAATTTAGATGATTGTTCTATTTCTAACATTATAAAATCTTAGAAAATGGAGAGGGATTGCCACCATATGTCCTGATAAATTAAGTCGACCGTAGTTCTGTGTGTAATATAAGATAAGATAATATATGAACGGAGAGCCCTTTAATTAGAAATTCTTTGGATCAAAAGGACACATTTTTCGCCATGTTAAAGTTGGTTACTGTACTTTCATTTGTGGGTAAGCATATTCTTAAAAAATTCCAATCCTGTGGATTTCAAATCTATATATCCCTATTTTAGCATCGTCAGAACTTTTATAAACCCGACGTCAAATCCTCTTTAAAACTTAAAAATATTCTGAATATGGTCCAATATTTGAAAATAAATCATTGCATCAACAAGAAATTTTGTTACAGCTAAACTTTAACAACTCATTTAATGTGAATTGGAAGAGACCCTAATGTCGGGTTTTAATTGTAAAAAGTGTTACAGTTGAATTGATCTCTATCTGGTACAACAGATGTTTAAATGATTATATCCATTTAAATTTGTTATCTAGCATTGGTGTATACAGCATTACCACCACCACATAGTAACCATCCACACCATCATCATGGTACCTCAATCTGTGCTTTTATAACTAATGCCGACTGTTCTATCTTTGCCACTCATCAAGTATGTGCTACTGATGGTAAAACCTACAACAACCAGTGAGTACAGACATTTCATTCAGATAATATCGTTCTTTACCCCTTTTAGGATCCTTGCATTTTCCCCTTCATCCTAATTAACCTCCCAAAGTTTTCAAAATGACCCCAGGTTAGATTAATACATCAGTATCTTGATATAGTGACCATTACTTAGGGTTTTCGGAGTAATTTCATCAGAAAATGAGAATCAAATGTACTCTAAATATATTATTACATTCTGTTTATAACTTTTATCACGAACACTGAGATACACGTGGAATTGAAATTTTCGAGATCAGAATTGTAGTCAAGAAGTACATGTATACAGCATATCCGAACTAGTACAATGAGCAGACGATAAATGGCGAGCAGCAATTAATAATCATTTATTTTGAAACTCATGGTGGATGGTGGATGGTGGACGATTTATCGGCTTATAATAATGTCCAAACAGGTCGGCCCCGGCGAGGCAGCATGAGATGATCATACACAAATTATATTTAAGTCGAGAGTCTTCGCAAAATATTGCTAACTATTTTTAGTACGTGAGATTTCTCTGCTCATACAACTTAGGTCCTAAGATTGAGGAGATAACCCTCATTTTGAATCAACTGTCCTTGTGAAAATATTATATCTGAAACACGTGTAGGAAACATGAGATCATCTGATGTCAGTTAATGACTTTAATCTGGCAACCATGTAGGACTATGACACTAATTGTTATAGAGATCTTGAACTCCTCATATCTATTTTGTTACAGATGTGAGTTTTCTAAAGCTCATTGTTCCAACATAGATTTACATGCATCTCATAATGGTACTTGTGACCCAACTGAACAAAAGCCAGACCCTAATGTACATGGTAATGAATTAGTCTACAGTTTCTTCTGTGCCAACCTACAGCATTCACATTGTGGTAATGATATGGAGATAGTTTGTGGTACAGACATGAACACGTATGATAACTTGTAAGTCTACATGCTTCTAATCATCGACTTCATTCTCTAAAACGTAACAAAGATCCAGATTTAAAAAAGACGATCATCCAATTGGAAAATTAAACTATATCTAGAAGTTAGTATGATTGATCAAACAGTTTTTGAGAATAAGCAACCATATACTTCTTGTTTTCAGCAGTGATGGCGTAAAATGATTTTGTTCTGAAACGTCATTCTTCTGAAAATAGCTAAATTATGTGATTTACATCGCATAACTATATCTTGGGACAAGATAAACTTGAAATATAAGTACGACGTGATTTAGAAGTCTGTCAGAATAGTAGTTAAAAGACATTCCAGTACTATTGCACTGTTTTTCTCCAGTGACAATTTTGTACGAGATGTTTGCGAAGGAGTATTTATGTGAGAGAAAACTGATCTATTCCCTGAAGTAATCATTCCCATAGCAAAAACAGGTAATGGCAATAAAGATTGTATCTTAATCTAAAGAGGTCACTAAAGATAGTCACTTTCAGACACAAATTCAATAGACCCACAAGTAATTGTGTATGTCTTGTATAATTTCAGATGTATGTTTGAAAAAGCTAGATGCAGCAATTCAGATCTGTTGATATATACCTACCAAGCTTGTCCTAGTAAATAATAAACAGTTTATATCTGAAATTATAGTTTTAAATATATCATGTCATAACGGGCCAAACCAAGCATTTTTATCATACAAAAGCAGTAATGATTGCGTTTCGGAAATCGCAACACACAAACAGACGCTGATTCGGCTTTCGCCACTGCCTCCAAACTTTAAAATGTCTTATCATTATACATAGAAAAAATGGCCTGATCAACCCCCTTGACAAATTTGTTGGGCCCGTCTCGACCTTGTCACCTTATGATTACTAGAAATGCCACCAACTTCACAATGTTAAGCTATTGCGAACTATGTCTTATACTTTGACTTCAATAACCACTATTCTTGTTTCACGGAAGTTTGTTAACGCAGCGATTTTAATGGATTGTACAATAAAAATAAGCCATACAGTCTTTCTGTCAGTGGCTCTAAATGACCGTATCCCCTGGCGTACAATCCAATCAAATTGCTGCAATCCGTGATACAAGAAAGGTGGCTGTTATTGTCAAGGTATAAGACGAAGTTGACATTGAGAAGATGCACCAAACAGGCTCACGTTTCACATTTCTATCATATTTCAAAAGTTTGGCGATACCCCAATATCTTCAAACCGGGTTTCTTCTGTCTTTGGAACAGCTCGGTAGGACCAAAAACAAAAACAAGGACCAGAAGAGCTTGTTTTTACGGAGCCCCTAAGGCGCAATTGTAAACATATTTATTTATTATTTTCGTTTAAACGAAATAATAAATAAATATGTTTACAATTGCGCCTTAGGGGCTCTGTATGTTTTTAAATGAGGCATTTGATATTTTGGAAACACCTTCGCTTCCACACCATATAGCGATTTAGGTGGTGTGTATAAAATACGATTGCATAGTGGGATATGAATTCATTGAATTTGTGAGTTATACTCTCTTTCACGAACTAAAAGAAGAAATAACTAGAGGATGACCCGGAATATTTTTTTCAATTTGAGAGGCCGTGATAACAGATCATTAAAAAGTATTGCAATCAAGGGTTTGAAAGTTTATGATAAATTTTGTTCAGGGGTTAGAAGGTTATTGATGAATTTTATTCAGGGGACAAAAGATTTCTAGAAACTTAAATAAAGGAGACCTTCGCGACCCAGTGGTGAGCTGAAATCAGTGAGGGTTAGCACTTCTCTGCTCCTGTATTGTTTGGGGGTGACCTGAAATCAATAGTAAAGACCTATCTTCACTTGTCGTGTATGCTAATTGTGACTGCAGACATCCCAGGGTTTACTTCTTCTTGTTGTCATGTCAGCAACATAACAGAAACAACTGTCATCGGATGCAGAATTGAAAATTTGTTCATTCAAACTTTTTAAGATAACCTTATGTATTTTATTAATTTGAAGTGGTTAATTTTATGAAAAGAAGAACCCCCTCTTGCCCATTGGCTTTCTCGATCTTTATGTGGTGTTTTGGTGACCAAATGCCCATTTTTGAATAGTTTGAATTCTGAATGTCCAAATTTCCATTTGAAAGCTGATACATTGGTGTTTTATTCTGTAAACTAAAAATTGTTTTTAATTCTTTCGGGTAATGAGGTTCGATAAGAAGTGATGTCTTGGCGTAATGAAATTATGATCAAATATTCATTCGAAGAAAGAATAGTAACTGAATAGAATTCTATTAAATATCAATTTCATTTTGAAACTTTTTTTAAAGACCAAATTCTGGTCTCCAAGGAAAATTGTGGATCTCAACCCTATTAACTCTTTAGCATTCGGATTCTAGGTTTTATTATAATGTATTGATATACCTTTATCATCAATTGATGAAGGTCTGTACTACTACTCTACTGACAAATGTTCTGTTATCAATTCTCTAATGTATCATGTAGCTGTGTTTTTTTCTTACAATAGATTTGATTGTCTTAATTACTCTGACAACACTGATCTGAGATTTTGTATTTTGCACTGTTTTTCTCAATTTTAAATTTGAATTTTAAATTTTAAATTTTTACAGGTTCATAGAAATACACTTTTTGAAAATTTTACAATACACTTCCCTACCTTAACCTATATACTGGATTAACCTCAATTTTCATACTTTATTTTACAGTTATACAACATGAACAATTCATCTACAAGTCACGATCATTTGGATCTGAGGTAGGTCAAAATTCATATTTTGCTCAAATGTCTTTGCCATGATTCCTATACATGGTAATTATGAATTATATGTTTTTTGAAATAGCCAATTTATGAAATTAATTTCAGAATGGTATGTTAAAAATAAAACAAAAGAATGATAATGTTATAATATATGACCTAAATGGTATGTTTAGAATAAAACTAAAGAATGATAATGTTATAATATATGATCAGAATGGTATGTTAAGAATAAAACTAAAGAATGATAATGTTATAATATATGATCAGAATGGTATGTTAAGAATAAAACAAAAGAAGAATAATGTAATAATATATGACCAGAACGGTATGTTAAGAATAAAACTAAAGAATGATAATGTTATAATATATGACCAGAATGGTATGTTAAGAAAAAAACTAAAGAAAGATAATGTTATAATATATGACCAGAACGGTATGTTAAGAATAAAACTAAAGAAAGATAATATTATAATATATGACCAGAATGGTATGTTAAGAAAAAAACTAAAGAAAGATAATATTATAATATATGACCAGAACGGTATGTTAAGAATAAAACTAAAGAATGATAATGTTATAATATATGACCAGAATGGTATGTTAAGAATAAAACTAAAGAATGATAATGTTATAATATATGACCTAAATGGTATGTTAAGAATAAAACTAAAGAATGATAATGTTATAATATATGACCTAAATGGTATGTTAAGAATAAGACAAAAGAATGATAATGTTATAATATATGACCAGAATGGTATGTTAAGAATAAAACAAAAGAATGATAATGTTATAATATATGACCTAAATGGTATGTTAAGAAAAAAACTAAAGAAAGATAATATAATATATGACCAGAACGGTATGTTAAGAATAAAACTAAAGAAAGATAATGTTATAATATATGACCAGAACGGTATGTTAAGAATAAAACTAAAGAATGATAATATTATAATATATGACCAGAATGGTATGTTAAGAAAAAAACTAAAGAAAGATAATATTATAATATATGACCAGAACGGTATGTTAAGAATAAAACTAAAGAAAGATAATATTATAATATATGACCAGAATGGTATGTTAAGAAAAAAACTAAAGAAAGATAATATTATAATATATGACCAGAACGGTATGTTAAGAATAAAACTAAAGAAAGATAATATTATAATATATGACCAGAATGGTATGTTAAGAAAAAAACTAAAGAAAGATAATATTATAATATATGACCAGAACGGTATGTTAAGAATAAAACTAAAGAATGATAATGTTATAATATATGACCAGAATGGTATGTTAAGAATAAAACTAAAGAATGATAATCTTATAATATATGACCAGAATGGTATGTTAAGAATAAAACTAAAGAATGATAATGTTATAATATATGACCTAAATGTTATGTTAAGAATAAAACTAAAGCATGATAATGTTATAATATATGACCAGAACGGTATGTTAAGAATAAAACTAAAGAATGATAATGTTATAATATATGACCAGAATGGTTTGTTAAGAGTAAAACTAAAGAAAGATAATGTTATAATATATGACCAGAACGGTATGTTAAGAATAAAACTAAAGAATGATAATGTTATAATATATGACCAGAATGGTATGTTAAGAATATGTATCAGTAGGTGGTGTGATGTGTCGCAAAGATTAGAATTTTACAAAATCAAACGTCAATCTGTATATTCTACCTTCCTTCAGAGGGGATCAAATCTAGACTAGTGCCAGATATTTTTCTAAATTATTTTCAGTTTTCATGTGCTCAACTGATAAAGGAGGTACTGAGTTTATTGGGTGGCATACCAAACTCTACCGGTGGGACTAGCTGTATCTAGTGATAGCATTGTGTAACAACCATTTGAATGTATTTCTTTGTGTTTAATTTGTTTCTACAAGTAGAGATGTCTGCTGACATATATTTTGATTATTCTTTTATGTACATTTAATAAAAAAAAAGTACCGGAAAGAGACCATTGACTTCTATTTTAATTATGTTTTATTGACATGGAATATGAACAGGATTAGAGAAGACTATTTTCTGCCTTTTTTCTAGAAAATAATAATTGATATCAAATAGTAACAATGTCATAATCTTTCAAGCTTTCATAACAGCTACCAATTGATAACAATGTCAGTTTATGATAATCTTTCAAGCTTTAATAACAGCTACCAATTGATAACAATGTCAGTTTATGATAATCTTTCAAGCTTTAATAACAGCTACCAATTGATAACAATGTCAGTTTATGATAATCTTTCAAGCTTTAATAACAGCTACCAATTGATAACAATGTCAGTTTATGATAATCTTTCCAGCTTTAATAACAGCTACCAATTGATAACAATGGCGATCATTACTTTTAATCTATTCACTAAATCAATGTTTTTAACACTTTATTTCCTGAAACTTCAATCTATTTACCATATTTTTACTCTCAACGATACAGAAAAATATGACGTAAAACTTCATAAATTTGCTTTTTACATTGGACATAATAGAATCACTGTAACGAACTATATTTTCAATAAAACTTTTCCCTTTTCATGAAATACTCTCAATTTCCAATTTTGCTGTTATGAATGATTTTATACTTTATAGAATAAAAATGTTAAGTATCCAAGAAATAATGCCAAATTACCAAGGATGAACACACATGTCTGTCTTGACCGAAAAAATCCGTCTCTATTCCAGCTTCTGATAGCTATTTGGACAGATGGCTGAGGACAGTTATCAAAATATCCACCATAGTCTGAAATAGAGGCGTATGTTTCGGACTAATGTCTGTTTCTAACTACATACATCTCAAATATAGTGTGTGATATTCATTAATAATGAACACTTGTTTTGTTATATATTTGTAGATAGAGACCAGAAGAAAGTAACAGATACTTTGAGCTGAATTTGAAGGTGAACAACAATCAAACATGATAGATCATCCGAGTTGTTGCTTCATATTTAGATGAATATATATGGAACGATACTATACTTTAGAATTAAAAAGTTATGAAATGTGTTGTTTTTAATCAACTAATCAACTGCTGCCATTATTAAGAAATTTCAAATCTCAATAGCTCATTGAAATAATGAGTACATTTACATGCACATATTGTTGTCTGTTAGGCAAATGTTAAAGTTCAGAGGTCAAATATCTCACAAATTC